ACTGCTTACCCATCCGCTGGGTTCTCTGAGACCCATTTAAACCCCGAGTCATGTCGTCACCCCCACCCCACCCACAACACACCTACCTGTCCTTTGGCTGGACATCGCTCCACCCGATACCCACAAGCAAGGTGGTCATGGCAGCTGGGGTGCTGTAGGGTCCTTCCCCATCTGCTGGTAACCTGGGTGGGTCGGGGCGCAGTGCTTCCGACACGCGACCTGCCCTCGGGCACCAGCCTGGCTCCTGAGGTCCCGCTCAGCGGCATTTCATATTCTTCGTAAGCCTTCAGGATCTCTTGCACAGCCGCTTCGAGGGGCTAGGGACGCCGGCAGCCTCTCTCCCTGCTCCAGCCCACCAGCCCACATCCACTCCTCCACCAGCCAAAGCCCCAAGGCCAGAGCCCGTCAGCGGGCATCTGTCTCAGTTGCTTGTCTTGTCACCAGGGTCACATCCCTGGTGTTTCACCTTGATCCTCTCCTCGGAGGCATGTTTGCATGAGATCACAAGCTGCTAACAAATGAGATGCGTATCTAATGCCCGACACAGTGCTATCTGCCGAGCTGGTCTAACATTGTCCTTTCCTATTTTATTGAGCCACGATCCGGTGGTTCAAGTTCTTTAATAGTAAAAAGTACAAATTGCATCAGGCTTAAAGCGACTGTAACGGAGCCAGGCTGGGGAGAGAGACTGCAAAGGCCAGAGCCCAGGGGGTTTCTACAGATCAACAGGGAAGGCACAAGGAACGTTTCAGCGTGGAGGAAAAGGGCTGATGGCAAAGCCTTTATTTTATTTGGATGTGGTTAGCTTTAGTAAACACCATATGAAGCCTCAAGTATCTGGCAAGTTCCCAGAGGCAACCTACAGCACCGACTCCCTCCCAGCCCCAAAATGAACTCGCTGTCTAGCATGATACACCTCTGCCTCACACAAGACCAGGAGTATACTGCAGAGTACAGGGTGAGACCACATAGAAAGCAGATGGCCCATCCAGGCTCAGCTTTCCACTTGGCTGAAGCAGCGCATGGCCTTGGCCACAGCTCGGCTCTCCTAGGAGCAGACCAGAGCTAGAAGCCATTCTGTTGGGACAGGGCGAGCGGTGGTGGGGTCACAGCCCAGACGCCTGGAGACCAGGGCTGACCTCCCACCTCGGCACAGGCTGCCTTGGATGATGCTCGGGGCTAACAAGCTTGTCGGCATCTCGGGTTCCCGGTCTACACCACGTTTCGGCTTTCCCGATCCTTGAGCAGCTCCAGTGCACCAGGCGGGTGGCTGCCCTGCACCCCAAAAAATACACAGCCCTTTCTGGAAAGATGCGGAAGGCTCCCCTGCTCACGCTGGGCAGATGGCCACCCCAGGCGACTGGCCTGGTCCAGGCATGGCTCTAAAGGGCTGTGAGCTCCTCCAGCGAGAGCAGGGTGAGGAGGGACAAACCCTTGGCACGGGGCAGCTGTGCGAGAGGCTGGGCTGAGGGACAGACTGCGGGGTCACGCTGACAGCTGGGTAACAGGGAGATCAAGTCAGGGAACGCTTCAGATTCCCACTTGCCCTCGTCTCTTGTGGGCTGAGGGGGCAACCTGCCGATCCCCCTGCCTGTTTGGGCTGGAGATGGCTTGCTGTGCCCCTAACGGCAGTCAGGCTGATGGCCACCCTCGAGGGATGGCAGACCTTCGCTGTAACGGTACGAGGGAGCACCTTCCGAAAACACAGGCACAATCCCAAAAAGCACCATTCCAGAAGGCACCGAGCGCGTTTCCCTCGCACGGCGATTAGCAATAACTCCTCCACAGCCCGTGCCACGGAAAAAGCACTGACGCTGCTGTGCCTGCCAGGCTGGAGAGCCCAGCTTCTTCCTACCCCCCCCAGGGGACCAGAGCGCCGGCTTTCCCCGTGCCAGGTAGCCTCAGCAGCCTGTCCGTGCCTCTCAGCTTCTCGTCCCAGTTTACTGTCTGCCTTTTACAGCGCACGGCAAGAGTCAGGTCCCGTGTATTTCAAATCGCAGACCAACCTCGTCCCACAGGGATGGCTGAAGCATTCGGCTTGCGCCACCACCGAGGAGCACTTACTCGTACAACATCTTGTTTCCACAGCAGTTCTGTTTCTAAAATGGCAAAGGCATTTCTCTGGGCTGTAAGGTTTTTGTGGCAGCTTTTGTTCCCTTCATGCGCTCAGCAGGTAGGACTGCGTTCTGCATGTCTCTGCCCATTTCACTTGAAAGTCAGCAACAACAACAAAACGCAGAGCCTTGCTTTAACAATGTGTTCTCGAGCTTGAGTCATAAACACTTCGAAACACCCCCACAGCCCGCGGCTGCTCGATCTGGGTAGGCTCTGCGTGGGTGTGCGCTCTCCCGAGGGTTAGCGTGCACGTGTGAGATGCATTTCTGCATGTGAGAAAGAAGCACCCTGGGTCACTGATCTTACCTCTCTGCAGACCACTCTCCCCTGTGGGAGAGCTCCTTCTTGGGTTAACTGGTGCAGCTCGGCATCTTCGTGACCACCTGGAAGCATGGCTGCGGACACCACCGCGTCCTTCGGCGGCATGTGGAAGGGAAGCACAAGCTTCCTCGCTCGGGGCGAGGAAGAAGTTGCCTGGTACGTCAAAGAGCGCACCGCAACCGTGGATGAGAGCTGGGTGGAGATTTGACAAGTGAAGATATAATGTCTGCGTGGCCCCACGGGGAGCTGATGGAGGGGAAGTGACTGGCCCTGAGGGAGGAGCGTGGCCAGACCCTGCCCACGGAGGCAGGAAATCTGGCAGGGCTCTCAGTGCAGTACGTGCTCCGGGCAGCGGCTCCCAGGCTCTCGGCACTCAAAAATTTGGTGCTTCAAAGGTCAAGCTGGGTCCAGCACTTCCTCCCCATCCCAGGGCTGCTGCCGCACTGAGATCTTGGGCCTGCAGAGTCCTTTCCCTGGGGTCCAGACCACGGCAGGGACACGCTGGAGCCACCCAGGACCCTTGCCTCAGCACCAGCCACCACCAGCTGCAAAGCAGCGGCGTGTGAAACCCAGAGCGGGCAACCAAAGCGGCTGGAGCAGCCAGGGAGAGGGCAGCAGAACGGGCTGGTTCTTGTCCCCCGGTCACTCCCTGACAAAGCCCCTCTCTCCCAAGGCAGTCCGACCAGGAGCCCAGCTCTGGCTCCTTATTCGGGGCTCTGGAAACCCCTTGCCCCTTTGCTTTGCCCTCTCCTTAACGGGTGCAAGGTGTTGGTACTGCCCTAGCCCAGGACAACGTCAGTGAGAGTGGGAGGCGTGGGATACATTTTCCTTTCTCTGTTAAGCGAGATCTGCAATTATCAACCTCTTTCAGCCTGTAAGCTCCCGAGAGATCTCCCACGGCAATGCAGACCCCACGGTATGTTTTAGCCTGGTGACAAGAAATGTGCTTTTCTGAGCCCCCTTTCACCAAGCCTTCCTAGCCCATAGAGCCCAGCAGGCTCGGTATCGCAAATCAACCATTACTCCTACATTAAGAGCGGTAGGAGCCCAGTTACTCAGCGCTGGCTGTGTGGGAGCAGCCGAGTTCCCAAGGCAGCGGTGCTCACAGCACGCAGCCAGTCACCGTTACGAGCACTTGGCAAAGCAAAGGCAGAGGGAGAAATCGGCTTCAGAGGACAGAAGGCACACAGGAGAAGGCTGGCAGGAAAGGGATCGCACCCCTCCCTCCCTGCTAATCATCCATTTGGCACATCTAGTCTCATCAGGCAGCTCTTTAAAAACAGGCTTCTCCAGCTAGATCAAACTCGGGCTCCAAGACTGAACTCGGATGCAGCAGCCCGGGCAGAAGAACACAGACAAGACCCTCTCCCCGCTCTCCTCCCAGGTTACCAAGAGCCCCTGGGAGCGTTAAATCCGTGTCGGTGTCTCTGTACCACCGCCCATACCCAAGGGGCATGCAAGCACCCATTCTGCAAGGTTCGTCACAACGCTGTTAGAAAAATGTGACATCTTCAGCTCAGCCTTGCCTTGTCCAGTGGGGGTTAATCTAAAAACACTGAATTTTGCAGGCTGAGTCAGAACTTGGTTAATAATCCACAGTACAACTGAGTCAGCGGCAAATCTCTTCACTGCTGTTTTACTGACATCCCAGATAACAAATACCACTCACGCTGGACCACAGCCAGTGCAATGGGAGCCAGATCCCTGTCTCCCACCAGTGTATCTAAGCATACATCTCTCCCCACCCAAGAGGAAAGGGGAAACTCAAAAGGAAATATAAAAACCTGATTTTTATTTTTTTCCCTAGGCCGTTTTGTACCCACTCACCACACACAATTACATTTGGACAGACACAAGGTACCTTTGGAAATTGTACTCAGCACTTAATCCTCTGGCTCTCTGGCACTCGTTTACTCTCCAGGTGCAAATAGCTGCATTTTCTGCTCACAGACTAGAAAGCCAACAGACGACCAACAGTTACCTCCCAGAGTAGCTGTGTGGCTCGCTCCCTGGCTAGTTCAGTGCACAATTACCTTCAAGACGGCAAAGCTTTATTTCTGCTCTGCTCAGATCCTCCGAAAGCCTTTTGTCATGCTGCTCAGTGCCTTACAGAAGGCAGCATCGCCCGTTGGGTCTAGACAGGCTGTCGCGATTGCTGGTGCAGCACGGGGAGCTCTCAGCCCGCCTCTGCGCGAGAGCGGGCTTCAGCTCGGTGCTGGAAAGGCAGATTTCGGTGAAAAGCACCAACCTCGCTGTTCATCACTGCGATACACTGGGCTGTGTGCTGCAAGCAATGAGATTTCTAATAACGCCGTGTGCCAAGGCCTGAAATCTAACCAAACCAGCTCGCCGTACACTGCACACGCCAAGGGTCTGGAGCAAAAGGACGATGCCTCTTCTATCGCTGCGCTGATGTTTTGCGGTCCGTTGCTTAGAAATCGGTTTTGAAAGAATAGGGAAAGCACTCAGCAACACTGCTGCTACACCCATTTTTCTGTTGCACAAATACTCAGCAAAAAGCTCGGAGAAGCCAAAGCTTTGCAGTTTAAGAAACAAGGTCATGTCGGAGTTTACTGACTGCAAGGGAAAGGTCCCTTCCCCAGAACCCCCTTCTCCGCAGAAGCATGAGATCTTATCTCTCAAGGCAGCCCAGGGCCCAGGAATGCATGATACCAACAACTCCAGCCCAAGCCACGCTAGCTGAACAGCTTTTCTCAGGGTACTGTGACCTAGAGACGGGCTGCTCAGGCAAGGGAGCCCCGCTGGGAAAAAAAAAAAAAGTCATCTAAAGCCAGCAAATGGGAATTTTTTGGCACAGAAGCAAGTGGCAGCGTTTGGATCCATTCCACTAGCAAGCCCTCCGAAGGTTTACCCCTCCTTGACTGCGGCTCTCGTGTTCCCCTTAGCACAGCTGCCTTCTCTTGGTGGAACAGGAGCCACGGCTTCAACAGCCACCAAGACGGATGAGACAGGAGAAGACCTGTTGCTTCTGTGGGCCCTGTAAGCCAATAAAGAGTTAATTTAATGAGGAGTCATGAAATGTACCTGAGTAAATAAGAACATCTGGAATCTATTCAGGAACTCCCAGCGCTGGGACGGACAGGCTCAGTGCAGACAAGACAGAACAGCAAATAAGATAAGCATTTAGGAATGTAGTAAATAAGTCAGAAAATGATAAATTAGTAAATCAAGAAGTGCTTGACACAGGCGCTGTTCAACTGCCAAAGATGTGGGCCTGTTGCTTAATTAGTTTTACTACTCTCTGTAGAAGTGTGTAATGGGGAAACGTGGGGATCATTTGGAAAAACTTCTGCTCACAGGTAACTAGATAGGATTTCTCGTCCCATTTCTGTTGAACCCTGCAGGATGCCTGCTGAGAGCCAGCCCCATCACCGGCCCGGCAGCTGGTTTTGACAGCCTGTGTTTGCTTCCTTCTTCCATCGGTCTTGCCGCAGGAGCCCAGTGAGCACGTTGGCAGCAGCCAACACATGAAGTCCCCCAGCACTCGCGGGGACACACGTCCCGCCAGCTCCCAGAGCCGTTCGCCTCCCGTCGTGCCCGCTGCGTGTGTTCGTGCCATGTGGTACAGCATGTGCGTTACTTACCGGAGCAAGGAGGAGGCTTGCAGCTGATCCCCCAGCAGACATCAACTACCTTTAGGCTTTTTTCCTTCTTAAGAGTGAAGTGAAACTGCCTAAAACACACCACCAAAGCCGGCAGGGCAATCATACCTCGTTAACGAGGGCTGTAGGCGAGGAGACCCAGCTCTGCACGATTCAGCAAGCCAGTGTGTGCGCGATGGCCAATTCCCTTCACAGCCGGCAGAGCACCGGTGCGTACGTTCATTGCTGCTGTGCCTAAGGACAGGTACAGATGCAGGCAGCTCGGACAAGTCTGGTCTGAGTCTCAAAGCGTGAGAGGAGCTGAAAGGCTTTTCTTTCAGCGGGGACGTGGCTGGGTCGCCAGGAAAGCACACCTGGCAGCAGGCACGGCTGAGAACCACGGGCTCCGGCTTCCCAGCTCTGCCTCGAGTGACTGTCAGACACCCTTCCTTGGATGATGCCAGGGGTTTATCATACAAGCACCAATGGAAACCCACAACCTGGTAAGAAAACCAACTTTGTTGCTTAATTAAATGTCATTTAAAATTACCAGTCTGCATCTACAAGGATTCTGGTTCACCAACAGAAACAAGACCATTTAGAAGCAGTAAGGGGGTAGCACTGTCTGGCATCCACAATCTAGCAACTCTTCACACAGGCTTACCTAGAACAGCAAGCCCCTGGACAGACACCAGCTCCTGCCCAAGGATTAACGCGGATAGCACAGGTCCTCCCTTGTGGCGGTGGGCTCTGAAGAAACCCATAAGCACTTCATTTTACGTGACTATGACGCCAACCCCCCAAGCCATTTTTCTGCTGTAACTACAGAGTCAGAAGAAACATCAACTCAAGGTCCTTTTTCTTGATAACAAAGGATCTGTAAAGCAGTGCTGCTTTCAAAAGAAAACCCTCCTGACTGAACTTCCGAAGAACATCCCAGGGGCAGACTGCCATCCTTTTAATCACTCGTCTAAACAAAGACACCAGAAAGCTGAAGACCCACGCGAGAAGAAGCCATGGCATGAAGGTCACTTTCTCCTTCTGGAAAGATTTGGTGCTGTCCAGCAATGAGGAGCAAAGACTAAAATGTAACTGATTATAACCAAAGGCAAGAAGAAAAAAAAATTAGGTGAAAATTTAGTCATCCTCTTGTAGCTGCAGTTGTGCTCACTGAGATTTCTCGCTCCCTATCTCCTGTCGCCGCTTCCATTTGTCTGCTAGCTGAGCTACCCGAGTTTTGTGCCCAACCAAGCCAACCAACTGGCTGCTTTGTGCTGTTAACGTTGTTTTACCCGAACAGGCAGCTGAAGGTACAACCACGCCTAGAAATGGATGTTCCTGCACCAGGATCACTGAAAAACTACTTGACCAAAGGCACGGGGACAGCAAAACCTCCCGAGGTAAGCAGACCACTGACCGTGCAAGAAACACGGGCCAGGAAACATCCCATGGCAAAAGCAGTGTTACAGAGGGGAGGTAAAGTTCCCAGGAAATGGTGCAAAA